TTGCCAAAAAGTCAGTAAGGTTTTTCATACTCCTGCCAGCAAAATCTACTCTTGGTCTATTTTTTCCGGGTGAGTCATTTACTTAATGTACCGAGTTCTGACGGGGGGGAAGTACAGGGGCCCGCTTTTTTCAGAAGGGTGCTCATTTCTATTTAGTCATTTAAATTATAAAAAACTTTAATTGGCAAGCAACCTTTGAATGAGTGATGGTGAATGGTTTCCTCATGATGGTTAAAGTGAAGGAATTTAGGGAAATGGTTTTGTTGGATTGTCCGGGGGGGTTGGGGAAGTGCAGTGCCTGCCTTGAAAAGGGGAAGTGTAAAAGGTTTCGTCATTTGGGTCACCCTTTTTTTGGGAGGAAATGGTAAATTTTTTAAAGAATTCATTTGGTGAGCCCCCTGGTTTGTAATTTGGAGATGTAAAAATTCAGAAAAAAACCAAGTAATTGTACATTATACAGCTTTTTAAGCAGTTTAAAAATACTCTGAAAATTTTATATAAAAGATTGAATAATGAGCAAAGAACAATGGGTAAAGGTGGTCTGGTCATTTGGGGGGATGGGCAAAAAAGAATGACTTGGGGGTATATAAACTGTAGTGGAGGGGGGAAAGGGAGGGTAATGGTCGTATTGGAAGGATGGGGGAGGGGGTAAAGGGGGTTTTGTCGTTCAAGGGGCTTGGAATACAGCGGTGTGTGGCATGTTGATAGGAATGAATGGAGCAAATGGTTTTTGGGACTTGATAACTGTTGAAATGTAAACAGGCAGGTAATATTTTTGAAGAGATTAAGGAAAACCGTTAGCCGGGGTTGAGTCCTGGAGATGGAAATACAGTGTTGCATCGAAAGGAAAAATTTTGGGGTATTGCTGCTTAGACTGACACCAAACTGTTGTATCTGTGCACCTTTTGGGGAGACAGTGATGTGTGAATGATGGTTTTAAAGTGTTTTTTTTCGGGTAACCCCCCCTAGTAGGAGGATGGCCAGTATGTTAAAAAAAAAAAAAAAAAAATTGTTTTTAAAATTGTGTGGGAGGTAAAGGTTTGTGCTTTTTCTGCTATTTTTTTAAAAATTATTCTGTTTTAATGAACACTCTAAGTCCCATCTATTAGTCCATTATGTTGAGTTTTTTGTATGATATTTGATGTAGTGCAAAACTGATCTTGGATTATTATGTATCCTTATTAATCCAAGGTTTATGGCGATGTTTTTGAACTGGAGGGGTGGTCAACATGTGAGCATTGGAAAATCTTCTAGCATACGCATTGTAGTGTGTGTGTTATGCTTTCGGTTGGTGTATAGTTGAAGTGTCATTCAATGTTTATTAAAATTGTTAAGGGATAGTTTTGTCTCACTAGAATAAATTGATAGTGCCTAATGGTCAATGAATTTGCTTGAAGTTAATGTAGGGGTTTCAGTTTGGGTATTTCACTTTTTTTTTTTTTGGGGATTTCAGATAATTTTTTTTTGATAATTGTTTTTTGTCCTTTATATTTTTTAAATTTTTTGGGAAAATATTTGTCCTTGGCTGTGGTTTGATATTGCTGCAGTCTCCCCTTAAAATTTTATGGATGTGCTGTCACGGTAACTAAATGTTTACGCTTTTTGTATTTTTTTTTTAATAAATGTTGGCCATCTCCCAAACAGGGGCAGGGGGACCCAAAAAAAAAAAAACACTTTCACTATCATTCAAACACCCCATTCACCAATAAAAAACTGTTTTGCGAGGGGCACAGATTTGGCAGTTTAGATGGCACTCCAAACAGCTTTATACATAATAGTAAATAATGATTTTTTTTAAACAAGTACGTATCCCATGCTTGAAGCTCAAATAGAATGGCTAAAAATGGAAAAAAATGATTGCAAAAACAAAATATTAGTTAAAGATATTAATTTTTAGCTAGTAATTTTTTGCAAGAAGTAGGGGGAAAAAAAAAGAGTATAAAAAATTTAAAAAAAAAACAAAATAAAAAAATAAAAAAAACAGTACCATGAAGACAGTACCCGGGCAGTATCAAATATTTTATCCTAGGAGATTATAAAAAAAAAAAAGAAAACACTATTATTTCGTGATGAATTTTTTGATTTGGGTAGGATTTTTGTTCTTGTAAAAAAAACCATAAAATGATGGGTGAAAGTGTTTCTTCTTTTTTTGGGCCCCCTTCCTTGGTGGGAGACAGCAGTGTTTTCGTGTTTTAAAAAAAATTTGTTGTAATATCTTTTTTCTTTTCTTTCAATAAAACTGGTGTATCCCACGAAACAGGGGGTGGCCCCGAAAAAAAACAAAAGTTTCTTTTTAAATTTTGTAATGTTTACAGGAGAAGGGGGTTTTTTATGGAAGAGAGTGGTGAGAGAGTGCAAAAGGAGAGCAGTGATAGAGTGGGAGAGGGGGACGTCAAAAAAATTTTAATGAAAAAAAAGAAAAAATTTTGGGGTTTTGAGTTTAAAAAAGTTAAAAAAGCCTAGGGGGAAATATGGATTTGTCGTTAAAAAAAAGAGAGGGGGGGTTATTTTAAGGGGGGGAGAGGGAGGTATTAGGTAGATGGCAAGAAAATTTTTGGGAAAATTTTGTTTAGGAAGAAGGAAGGTGGTAATTTAGCATGGCCAGGGAGGTATACCTCTTTTAGGAGTGAAAAAGAAGAGCAGAATGAAGTGTGGGGAGGACGAGGGGCTTAGAGAATGAAAGGGGGTTTAAAAACAGCTGGAAAATGATGGGGGCATGACAAAAAATGTTAAAAGCAGGGGGGGATATAGTGTTGGAGTGGTTGGGACTTTTGTTTAATAAATGTATGAAAGAGGGGAAGGTACCTAGGGATTGGCGGAGAGCATGTATAGTCCCTTGATATAAAGGGAAAGGGGACAAAAGAGATTGTAAAAATTATAGAGGAATAAGTTTATTGAGTATACCAGGAAAAGTGTATGGTAGGGTTATAATTGAAAGAATTAGAGGTAAGACAGAATGTAGGATTGCGGATGAGCAAGGAGGTTTCAGAGTGGGTAGGGGATGTGTAGATCAAGTGTTTACATTGAAGCATATATGTGAACAGTATTTAGATAAAGGTAGGGAAGTTTTTATTGCATTTATGGATTTAGAAAAGGCATATGATACAGTGGATAGGGGAGCAATGTGGCAGATGTTGCAAGTATATGGAATAGGTGGTAAGTTACTAAAATGCTGTAAAGAGTTTTTTATGAGGATAGTGAGGCTCAGGTTAGGGTGTGTAGAAAGAGAGGGAGACTACTTCCCGGTAAAAGTAGGTCTTAGATAGGGATGTGTAATGTCACCATGGTTGTTTAATATATTTATAGATGGGATTGTAAAAGAAGTAAATGCTAGGGTGTTCGGGAGAGGGGTGGGATTAAATTATGGGGAATCAAATTCAAATTGGGAATTAACAGTTACTTTTTGCTGATGATACTGTGCTTATGGGAGATTCTAAAGAAAAATTGCAAAGGTTAGTGGATGAGTTTGGGAATGTGTGTAAAGGTAGAAAGTTGAAAGTGAACATAGAAAAGAGTAAGGTGACGAGGGTATCAAATGATTTAGATAAAGAAAAATTGGATATCAAATTGGGGAGGAGGAGTATGGAAGAAGTAAATGTTTTCAGATACTTGGGAGTTGACGTGTCGGCAGATGGATTTATGAAGGATGAGGTTAATCATAGAATTGATGAGGGAAAAAAGGTGAGTGGTGCATTGAGGTATATGTGGAGTCAAAAAACGTTATCTATGGAGGCAAAGAAGGGAATGTATGAAAGTATAGTAGTACCAACACTCTTATATGGGTGTGAAGCTTGGGTGGTAAATGCAGCAGCGAGGAGACATTTGGAGGCAGTGGAGATGTCCTGTCTAAGGGCAATGTGTGGTGTAAATATTATGCAGAAAATTCGGAGTGTGGAAATTAGGAAAAGGTGTGGAGTTAATAAAAGTATTAGTCAGAGGGCTGAAGAGGGGTTGTTGAGGTGGTTTGGTCATTTAGAGAGAATGGATCAAAGTAGAATGACATGGAAAGCATATGAATCTATAGGGACAGGAAGGCGAGGTAGGGGTCGTCCTCGAAAGGGTTGGAGAGAGGGGGTAAAGGAGGTTTTGTGGGCAAGGGGCTTGGACTTCCAGCAAGCGTGCATGAGCGTGTTAGATAGGAGTGAATGGAGACGAATGGTACTTGGGACCTGACGATCTGTTGGAGTGTGAACAGGGTAATATTTAGTGTAGGGATTCAGGGAAACCGGTTATTTTCATATAGTCGGACTTGAGTCCTGGAAATGAGAAGTACAATGCCTGCACTTTAAAGGAGGGGTTTGGGATTATTGGCAGTTTGGAGGGGTGGCCTGGTGGTTAACGCTCTCGCTTCACACTGTGAGGGCCTGGGTTCGATTCCCAGCCAGAGTAGAAACATTGGACGTGTTTCTTTCCACCTGTTGTCTATGTTCCCCAACAGTAAAATGGGTACCTGGGTGTTAGTCGACTGGTGTGGGTTGCATCCTGGGACACTGACCTAAGGAGGCCTGGTCACAGACCGGGCCGCGGGGGCGTTGACCCCCGGAACTCTCTCCAGATAAACTCCAGAATATGTTGTGTATCTTTATACATATATGCTTCTAAACTGTTGTATTCTGAGTACCTCTGCAAAAACAGCGATTATGTGTGAGTGTGGTGAAAGTGTTGAATGATGATGAAAGCATTTTCTTTTTGGGGATTTTCTTTCTTTTTTGGGTCACCCTGCCTCGGTGGGAGACGGCCAACTTGTTGAAAAAAAAAAAAATATTTATTTAGTTTATTTATGTATAAAATACACACTCACTGTATATATAAAAACATATAAAATAATAATAGTTGAAAATGTTAACAAAACATACAATTTTGAAGGATTTCAGTCATTGATTCCAATCTTTTACTTAGTTGTCATTTCCTGTTTCTGCTGCTCACTGTGTAAGTGTTGCTGGATTATACATTGTCTTTAGTCTACCTATATATGTGGGTTATTCATTATTTTACATAAGAGTATGTGTCTTGTCCTTTGAACCCTTCAAACTTTGTGTGGCATTTTTTCAGATATACAGATTCAGGTGTTTGCAGTGGGAACTCTGAGTATACTTTGCTCAGAAACATGTAAGTAACTTGGTGGTACATGCTTATAATTTTTAATCCACACAGGAGGTCTTTAACTCAAAAATGTGTTGCTCTGTAAGGGTTTCAACTTAACATGGTTTGTTTTGTGGAATATAGTGGTAAAGTACTGTATAAAGGGTGGTTATTTTTCATATGTTTGTACTGTTGCTTGGCAGTTGTAAAACTCTGATTGGTTCATAAGTATCCCATTTATGAGTGTTAATGTTTGTAACTTGGAAGTATTTATGAGTTGGAGACCTTCTGTATTTCTTTAGTTTAGTTCATGTGGGTTTGATGACTGTCTAGGGAAAGTCAGCAGCTTGTTTTTCTTGGTTGCATTATAATGTCACATGTTTTACCTGATGCACTACTGTATGTTTTTATTGTCTTATATGCTACAGTTTTTTTAATTGTAGTGTTGGCAAGATAGTGATGGAGTAAGTGATGATGAAAATGTTTCTTCTTTTTCGGGTCATCCTGCCTCAGTGGGAAACAACCGATGTGTTAATAAAAAATAAGTTGAGTGAATTACTGTACTGTACAGTTAATGTATAACTAGGAATCCCTGGTCATCCTATCCTCAGTTTGTTTATTTTTCTTACACGACTCCCAACATCAATTTCTGAATGCTCTCTGTAAACTTGCAAATACTCGTTATTATAGATTTAATTTACACATATAAAATTTCATATTTAACCAAAATTAAACAAATTTAATTTTATGAAAAAAATAATACTTTTATCTAATATACTTGTACTGTTTCTGTTACTTTTTATTTTATTGATGTTAACTTGGAATTCATTAAGATCTGTTGCATTTGTTATAGGTATGCAGATGATGATGATATCCAGTCTCAAAGCCTAAGTGAATCTAGGAATCATAAAACAAACTATGACAGCCTAGGTTATTCACATAGGGACTACATGAAGCAGTTATTCAATCAGAGGGGCTTAAAAGACCCCACTGACCTTTCATCATCTTTGGCCAGCTATGCTACTGTGTCTTACTGTAAGAAGAATCTACACAATATTTGTGCTTTGATAATTTAATTTATTTTAAGAAATATCTTGGTGCAGACTTTAGTTAATAAGATAGTTCAATGCATGGGAGTAGTCTCTGCAAATATTCTTCCAGGTGTAGTGGCAGAAGCTGCCTCTCAACTCTGATTTTTTATGTATCTTGTTTTTTCTTCTTCGGTGCTTGAGCTTTCTCTATACAGTGGTCCCTCGCTTTTCGTAGTTCTCAGCAATTGTAAATTTCGCCAATCATGGGGGTATTTTCATATAAACATGGACTCGCTTTTCATAGGTTGACTCGCGAATAGTAGTTTGCCGGGACGCGTACACACGGTGTGAGCAGGGCGGCCTTCCTACCCAGCCAGTCTGGCATTGTTTACCAATGAGTGAAGGTCTCCTCAAGTGCTCCTACAAAATATTTAATAATATTCCACTTATTTTAGTGCTTGCAAGTACTAAATAAGCTACCATGGCTCCAAAGAAAGCTCCTAGTGCCAAGCCTGTGGTAAAGAAGGTGAGAAATATGTACAGTGACAAAGTCTTGGGCCATTTTAGGGAAGTGTTAAAGAGACACCAGAAACAGAGCTCTCTCCACAGTTACTTTGCGAGACAGGACTAGAGTGACTCAAGGTGGTCCTAGTGGCATTAAGAAACAGAGAAGAGAAGCAACCTCAGAGAAGCAATTGGTACCTGAGGTGTTCCTGGAAGGGGATTCCCCTTCCAAACTGTAAACAATCCAATCTCTCTCCTCCTCCAGTCTCCCATACACTAAGAAGAATCTCCAATAAAGGTAAGTGTTATGCTGTTAATGTTTCATTCATCATTTCCCATTGTATTGTTTATGTACTACATGTATATTTCATGTAAAAAATTTTTTTGTTTTAATACTTCTAGGTGTCAGGAACGGATTAATTGTATTTACATTATTTCTTATGGGGAAAATTGATTCGCAAATCGTAAATTTCGTTTATAGTAGCTCCTCCAGGAACGGATTAATTACGAAAAACGAGGGACCACTGTATTATTTTCCTTGTTTCCTTCACAGTTGACTTCTTCCTTCTACCATCTATGACTTCTGCCATGTAGCAATATATGACCCTTATGAGTTTAGCATTTTCCATAAAAATAACAGTAAAATAATAATGTATTAATTCCCCATTTTTTAATACATATAAGGTGCTTTCAACCTAGGTAGTAGGTTGGTAGACAGCAACCACCCAGGAAGGTACTACCATCCTGCCAAGTGAGTGTAAAACGAAAGTCTGTAATTGTTTTACATGATGGTAGGATTGCTGGTGTCCATTTTTCTGTCTCATAAACATGCAAGATTTCAGGTACGTCTTGCTACTTCTTCTTACACGTAGGTCATGCTGCACATACATGTACAAGCATATATATACACACCCCTCTGGGTTTTCTTTCTAGTTCTTGTCCTTGTTCTTGTTTATTTCCTCTTACCTCCATGAGGAAGTGGAACAGAATTCTTCCTCCGTAAGCCATGTGTGTTGTAAGAGGCGACTAAAATGCCAGGAGCAAGGGGCTAGTAACCCCTTCTCCTGTATACATTACTAAATGTAAAAGGAGAAACTTTCGTTTTTCCTTTTGGGTAAGTCGGATGGTAGGTGTGTATATATATATACAGTGGAACCTCAAAAATCGAGCTGCTCCCAACACAACCAATTATGTAAGTGTATTTTTGTAAGTGCTTTTATAAGTGTATTTTTAAGGGTCTGAAATGGACTAATGTAATTTACATTATTCCTGATGGGAATAAATTCATTCGGTAAAGGCACTCGAACAGATTCTAGACCGAAGAAAGTTCGATATTTGAGGTTCCACTGTATATCTTTCTTTCTTTCAACACACTGGCAGTATCCCACCGAGGTGGGGTGGCTCAAAAAGAAAAACGAAAGTTTCTCCTTTTACTTTTCTTTCTTTCAACCCTCCACCAGTTTAAGTTGCCCACCGAGGCGGCGGTGGCCCAAAGGAAAAACGAAAGTTTTCCTTTACATTTAGTAATATATACAGGAGAGAGTTAACTAAGCCCCTTGTCCCGGCATTGTAAGTAGCCTCTTACAAACCGCATGGTACGGAGGAAGATTCTGTATCACTTCCCATGGAGTTAAGAAGAAATAAACAAGATAGAACTAGAAAGAAAATAGAAGAAAACCCAGCGGATTACATATATGTAGCTTGTACAGTATGTGTAGTGTACCTAATGTAAGTAGAAGTAGAAACGTACCTGAAATCTGGCTGTTCATGAGACATGAAAAAACGGACACCAGCAATCTACATCATGTAAAAACAATTTACGTTTCGTTTTAACACTCACTTGGCAGGCGGTAGTACCTCCCTGGGCGGGCTGTCTACCAACTAGAAAAACCATAAGTTTCTCCTTTTACATTTAGTAATATATACAGGAGAAGAGGTTACTAGCCCCTTGCTCCCAGCATTTAAGTTGCCTCTTACAACACGCATGGCTTACGGAGGAAGAATTCTGTTCCACTTCCCCATGGAGTAAGAGGAAATAAACAAGAACAAGAACTAGTAAGAAAAATAGAAGAAAACCCAGAGGGGTGTGTATATATGTACATGCTTGTGCATGTATGTGTAGTGTGACCTAAGTGTAAGTAGAAGTAGCAAGATGTACCTGAAACCTTGCATGTTTATGAGACAGAAAAATGGACACCAGCAATCCTACCATCATGTAAAACAATTACAGGCTTCCGTTTTACACTCACTTAGCAGGACGGTAGTACCTCCCTGGGTGGTTGCTGTTACCAACCTACTACCCAGAATATATATATATCTTTCTTTCTTTCAACACACTGGCTGTATCCCACCGAGGTGGGGTGGCCCAAAAGGAAAAACAAAAGTTTCTCCTTTTACATTTAGTAATATATACAGGAGAAGGGGTTACTAGCCCCTTGCTCCCGGCATTTTATTCTCCTCTTACAACATGCATGGCTTACGGAGGAAGAATTCTGTTCCACTTCCCCATGGAGTTAAGAGGGAATAAACAAGAACAAGAACAAGAACTAGAAAGAAAATAGAAGAAAAGCCAAGGGGTGTGTATATACATATATGCTTGTACATGTATGTGTAGCATGACCTAAGTGTAAGTAGAAGTAGCAAGACGTACCTGAAACCTTGCATGTTTATGAGACAGAAAAATGGACACCAGCAATCCTACCATCATGTAAAACAATTACAGTGGACCCCCGGTTTACAATCAGCTCCCAATGCAACCAATTATGTAAGTGCGTTTGTATGTGTATGTTTGGGGGTCTGAAATGGACTAATCTAATTCACAATATTCCTTATGGGAACAAATTCGGTCAGTACTGGCACCTGAACATACTTCTGGAATGAAATAATATCGTAAACCGGGGTCCACTGTACAGGCTTCCATTTTACACTCACTTAGCAGGATGGTAGTACCTCCCTGGGCGGTTGCTGTCTACCAACCTACTACCTAGAATATATATATATATATTATTTTTTTTTTCAACAAGTCGGCCGTCTCCCACCGAGGCAGGGTGACCCCAAAAAAGAAAGAAAATCCCCAAAAAGAAAATACTTTCATCATCATTCAACACTTTCACCACACTCACACATTATCACTGTTTTTGCAGAGGTGCTCAGAATACAACAGTTTAGAAGCATATATGTATAAAGATACACAACATATCCCTCCAAACCGAGTTCGGTTCCGAGAAACTGGTCGTAAGTCGAAATGGTCGTAAGTCAAACTTTACTACTGAACATCAACAAAACATTTTTGTAATGACTTTATTTTATTGTTTTATTTTGGTATTTCATGTTTTACTTTACTTTTTATGTTGTTAGTACTGTATTTTATACTGTAAGGTTTAGGATAAACACTGTGTACAACACAAATAGTTGTTTATTATTGAGGGACCACTGTATATTCTTTCTGCTTTCAAGTACATTGGACCCTCGCCTAACAATATTAATCCATTCCTGAGAGCTCATTGTTAGGCAAAATTATCGTTAGCTGAATTAATTTTCCCCACAAGAAATAATGGAAATCCAATTAATCCGGTTCAGACAGCCAAAAGTATTAAATTTTTTTTTTTTCATGAAATATACGTTTCCCTACAAAGAAAACAATGAGACATGCACAATAACTATATAAATAAATGTTAAAATGACACTTACCTTTATCGAAGAGTATTGATGAGGGATTTTCAGAGTGATACATGGGTAAAGACTTCACTTTGCAATCCCCACTAGCATTACAACAAAACAAGAAAGTTAGCCTGTCTTTCATAGGCTTGTGTCCTGGGAGTGCCTTTTCCTCCTGAGTAATGTATTTCCTGTTTGGCATTTTCTTCCAGAACAGGCCTGTTTTGCCATGTCTTATCACACTGTGTATGCCACTACAATTCTTAAATCTCTCAAACCAACCTTTGCTGGCCTTAAATTCACCAATATGAGCACTAGTTTCAGGCATTTTTTCCTGTTCACCTGGGTGTTAGTTGACTGGTGTGGGTCGCATCCTAGGGGACAAGATTAAGGACCCCAATGGAAATATGTTACACAGTCCTCAGTGACTCATTGACTTTCTTGGGTTATCCTGGGTGGCTAACCCTCTTGGGTTAACTGTTTCTCGGTAATTGTTTCTCATTAAGCCACACCAACAACAGTCTTTCCACATCTTCAAGTAGTACAGCTGATGGTGGTGTAGCAACAGCTGACGGTGGTGCAGCAGCAGCTGACCATGGTACGATAGTATTTTGATAGTATTTCTCACCTTTTTTACCACAGGGTTGGCACTAGAAGCTTTCTTTGGGCCCATGGTGGCTTATTTAGCAGTTACAAGCACCATAAACAATGGAATAATGCAAAATGTATCGAATGTATGCATGAAACCGGCCACCCTGGGCTTGTAAACAATGATGGCAGGGCAGCTGAGGCGCTCAGGCTGGACGGACAGGTTCGGGACGAATCACGTTGGCGAGTTTTTTATCGTCAGGCAGGCCAAAATTTTTATGCTCAAACGCTTCATTGGGTGAATTTAACATTATGCGATGCGTTAGTTAGGCAAGGGTCCACTGTACCAGTTTATAGTACTTGCACACGACTTGCTGTCTGATGAGCAATCACCAAGTGCTCAACACTTCAGAGTACCAATGCTATCACAGAATATCACCTTCAGTGCACCTTCAGAACTATCTGCCTCAGTTCTCCATTGATATTATAACAGATCACAAATGAGTTATTATAAAGGGCGCTTCTAACAGCATTATTTCCATGGATTTCTATGTTTCGATGCAGTGTGAGTTAATGGGACGAGTTCTGTTAACTCTCTCTGCAACTCGCACTGAAACTGCCCTGCAACTAACGCTACCTTCATTGTAAGAATGCTGACACCAGTATCTAGAAAATGAGCTGCCAACTTTAGTGACAGTCTAAGTCAAAGAACAAAGTCTTCCTCAACTCAGAGGGGTCTTTAAACTTAATTTTTCTTACTAGCTATATCATGAGGCTAAATTTAAGGTAACGTATTGTTATCTTATTCAGAAGGTCTTAGAATGGGAGTTTTCTTGGGTAAACACTTGACCAAGTTGTTTTGCGAGTCCTAATTGACAGAAGGAAAGGGTGTCTTTTTTATGGCTACATGGAGTGTGGTATTAACTGTGTGGAGCACTGGATTTAATTTTTTATGGGAGAATACAGGTACATGGTTGAAGACAGTGTCATTACAATAGAGGTTAGTCATTAATTATTTTTTTCCTGTTTTTATTAGATACACTTTTTTTGTATTTGGTCATTGGTTGCATATGTGGTGGGGTCATATTTTATTAGAAAATATTTGTCAAGAAATGTGGAGTATGTTTTCTTAATTTTTTGGAAAATGTTAATAAGCTATCACATGTTGTTGGTGTATAAAATATTTTTTGCCAATCAAAATTGCTCCAGAATGTACCCTTTATTACTAAACAAAATTGTGTTAAATTTGTTTGTATGGGATTACTGAACTATCCTTCAAAACTTTGCTGAGCACAGCCGAGATTAATCTTACTGTTGCTCATTCAGTTACGTGGTGTGTCCTCGAGGCATCTAGTATTCCCTGTAGTTAGTGTTCCATGTATAATCATGGCTGCTAAATACTGCTTTGATAAATTGATTCATTAAAACCTCAGGTGTCTTCATCTTACAAGTACAATAATACCTCAAACATAGTGACAGTACTTAATGTTAGGGTACACATATTTTGTGACATCTCACAACATGAAAGTGCTTGAGGAGATCCATGGAGTGCAGACACTGTAAAGCAAGCAACACATGATATGGGATTGCTTTATTGTATACAGAACTGTTTCTTTCCTGTCACGCAAATGCCAATGCCTCTTTACATTTACAAATGATCATCCTTATTAGTACATTGTATATCTGAGAGCTGAAAACTTTTCCAAGCAATCCATTTATTTTTTTCCTTGAAGTTGTCTGAGGGGCATGTACCCTCCACCTCATCTTCTTCTGTCTTGCTAGTTAAAAAAAAAAATGCTATAATCATTAGCAAAGAAGGCAGGAGACTAACTCTTGCTAGATCACCACAGTTGGTATTATTACTGTTTTGTGTATAACTTTAAAGTTTGTAAATTTACTTAGTTTGTGACAGCCATTTTTGTTATTTATCCTTAAAGTTTAGTCTGATCCATGCCTAATTGATTTAAAATATCCATAATTGTGGCTTAATTCTTTTTTTAAACAACCTCAAAGAATAGAGAGAGAGTTTACTGATTTTTCACTGTTGCCTTCATAAGTAGTGATGCTTGTTCTCCTCTTAAATATAGCTCTGATGGCAGTGCTATTGGAAGCTAATGGGGTTCTGGTAAATTCAATGAAGATGTTTTTAAAAAGATTGTGTGCTGGTATTAATTTTGAGTTTGTAGAAAAATACAGTTATGATTGTTGTCCTGTATCTCTATCACTTATATTTTAGTGAATGTGTCAATAATATCCTCATTAATTTCTCATTGCAGGTTTCCTTGCCTTAATATTGGCTCTTCTACTAAAGCTGCTAGAGAATCAGCTTGCTAGTGTTGAGTGGGGAGCTATTACTGGTGTGGTTATTGTTGCAATTCTCTGCATTATCAACGTCTTCATTCTTTCTCGCCAACCAGAATCCAAGACAAAATTGTCTTTCAAGGTTCGTGTTGTACAGAATTCTAATTGTAATTGGTAAAACTTGTAACCCGAATGGTTTATACCTTATCTTTAAAGTGTACAGGAAATGTGATGGTTACAAAGCTGATCCCTTTAGTAACTGGATATTTATATACAGTACTATATTTTAATTTTATTCAATACATAGAGTAGTACTAAAATTAGTTTTGGGCACAGTAGAATGTCAATTAAGACATGATCTATTAATGCCTTTTCACTATAAGTCAGTTGAAAAATTGCAATATTTTTTGATGAGCATGTAGTAATCTTCATTTAGGATGGCGTAAATTTATTGAAAAATATGGCATGCTGCGAGATCTTTTCCTACTGTCTTGCAGTCAGCTTATGTGTGAAAGACTTAGTCTCATTCTTAATGTAAACAGCCTCCCACATTGTAAGGTGTGTGTGTGGGGGGGGGGGTGATCCCATACCATACTCATTCATACATTAGTGAATTTATCTTTGACCATTTCATCAGCCCATCTTGCCTCTGGATAGTAACCACAGTACCCAAGGGTAATGTGAGTGATACTGAAAGTGATCTTCTGAAAACAGTTGTAATTTTGGGAAAGCTTAGATAGATAGAGCTTAACTTTGAAACGAACAAAGGTAAAAATAATGGCTCTTACCATTTAAATTGAACTGTAAAAAAATAATTTCTAGTTCAAGGTGTGCAGCTGAAAATTTGCATTAACTTTTAAATTATAACAAGCTAATGAGAAAAAGTAATTTAATTTTACTGCATTATGTCTACTTTCAGTAGGGGAGAGAGAGAATGATTGAGTGTGAGAAAGAGAATGAATGAATGAGGGAATGAGAGAGAGAGAATTCATTTATTCATTCATTGCTAAAGCTACCACTAAGGAATTTCTTAGGGAATTTAATCCTTTTAATTTTCAGGTTCCGCTCGTGCCTTGGACTCCAGCGATAAGTGCTTTGTTTAACCTATATTTGATGTGTAACCTGCCAGTCGACACTTGGATTCGTTTTGGTATCTGGATGGCCATTGGTGAGTATATGGTGAGATTATATGCATGTTTACACTGCATGAATGCTACCAGCTTTTGCATGATACTACTTTTTAAGAAATTAAATTAGCAAGTAGATAACAGTTGCCATGGTAAATTCTCACTTCTATAATTAATGACTAAGATAACTTATTCCACTTACTACCATAAAGTGGGGCTTCAAGAGGGTGGGATTCCTTGAGGCAAGTGATGGACTCTTGATCCAGGGAATTGAAGTGACCTCTCCCCTTCCTTAGATCAAACCTGATTATCTTCCATGTATGTGCTATATATCACTCCAAGTATCTCTCTATTTCTATCTATCTATCTATATATATATATATTATTATTCTTTCAACAAATTGGCTGTAACCCACTGAGAAAATAAAAGTTTCTTTTTAACTTTAGTAATGTATACAGGAGAAGGGGTTACTAGCCCCTTGCTCTTGGCATTTTAGTTGCCTCTTACAACACTCATGACTTACAGAGGAAGAATTCTGTTCCACTTTCCCATGGAGAATTTATATATATATATATATTTTTTTTTTTTTTTTTTTTTTTTTTCTCAACAAGTCGGCTGTCTCCCACCGAGGCAGGGTGACCCAAAAAAGAAAGAAAATCCCCAAAAAGAAAATACTTTCATCATCATTCAACACTTTCACCACACTCGCACATTATCACTGTTTTTGCAGAGGTGCTCAGAATACAACAGTCTAGAAGCATACACATATAAAGATACACAACATATCCCTCCAAACTGCCAATATCCCAAACCCCTCCTTTAAAGTGCAGGCATTGTACTTCCCATTTCCAGGACTCAAGTCCGACTATATGAAAATATATATATATATATATATTATATATATATATATATATATATATATATATATTATATTTTTTCAACAAGTCGGCCGTCTCCCACCGAGGAGAGTTTCAATGGAGAGGAATAAATGGGATTAGGTCAGAGGTTTCAAATAGAGTTAGAGCTAAAGAAGGAGTAGCAATAATGTTGAAGGATAAGCTATGGCAGGAAAAGAGGACTACAAATGCATAAATTCAAGGATTATGTGGAGTAAAATAAAGATTGGATGTGAAAACTGGGTTATAGTAAGCGTATATGCACCTGGAGAAGAGAGAAGTGTAGAGGAGAGAGAGAGATTCTGGGAAATGTTGAGTGAATGCGTGGGGAGTTTTGAATCAAGTGTGAGAGTAATGGTGGTTGGGGATTTCAATGCTAAAGTGGGTAAAAATGTTATGGAGGGAGTAGTAGGTAAATTTGGAGTGCCAGGGGTAAATGTAAATGGGGAGCCTTTAATTGAGCTATGTGTAGAAAGAAATTTGGTAATAAGTAATACATATTTTATGAAAAAGAGGATAAATAAATATACAAGGTATGATGTAGCACGTAATGAAAGTAGTTTATTAGATTATGTATTGGTGGATAAAAGGTTGATGGGTAGGCTCCAGGATGTACATGTTTATAGAGGGGCAACTGATATATCGGATCATTATTTAGTTGTAGCTACAGTTAGAGTAAGAGGTAGATGGGAAAAGAGGAAGGTGGCAACAACAAGTAAGAGGGAGGTGAAAGTGTATAAACTAAGGGAGGAGGAAGTTCGGGCGAGATATAAGCGACTATTGGCAGAAAGGTGGGCTAGTGCAAAGATGAGTAGTGGGGGGGTTGAAGAGGGTTGGAATAGTTTTAAAAATGCAGTATTAGAATGTGGGGCAGAAGTTTGTGGTTATAGGAGGGTGGGGGCACGAGGAAAGAGGAGTGATTGGTGGAATGATGAAGTAAAGGGTGTGATAAAAGAGAAAAAGGTAGCTTATGAGAGGTTTTTACAAAGCAGAAGTGTTATAAGAAGAGCAGAGTATATGGAGAGTAAAAGAAAGGTGAAGAGAGTGGTGAGAGAGTGCAAAAGGAGAGCAGATGAAAGAGTGGGAGAGGCACTGTCAAGAAATTTTAATGAAAATAAGAAAAAATTTTGGAGTGAGTTAAACAAGTTAAGAAAGCCTAGGGAAAGTATGGATTTGTCTGTTAAAAACAGAGTAGGGGAGTTAGTAGATGGGGAGAGGGAGGTATTAGGTAGATGGCGAGAATATTTTGAGGAACTTTTAAATGTTGAGGAAGAAAGGGAGGCGGTAATTTCATGCACTGGCCAGGGAGGTATACCATCTTTTAGGAGTGAAGAAGAGCAGAATGTAAGTGTGGTGGAGGTACGTGAGGCATTACGTAGAATGAAAGGGGGTAAAGCAGCTGGAACTGATGGGATCATGACAGAAATGTTAAAAGCAGGGGGGATATAGTGTTGGAGTGGTTGGTACTTTTGTTTAATAAATGTATGAAAGAGGGGAAGGTACCTAGGGATTGGCGGAGAGCATGTATAGTCCCTTTATATAAAGGGAAAGGGGACAAAAGAGATTGTAAAAATTATAGAGGAATATGTTTACTGAGTATACCAGGAAAAATATACGGTAGTTATAATTGAAAGAATTAGAGGTAAGACAGAATGTAGAATTGCGGATGAGTAAGGAGGCTTCAGAGTGGGTAGGGGATGTGTAGATCAAGTGTTTACATTGAAGCATATATGTGAACAGTATTTAGATAAAGGTAGGGAAGTTTTTATTGCATTTATGGATTTAGAAAAGGCATATGATAGAGTGGATAGAGGAGCAATGTGGCAGATGTTGCAAGTTTATGGAATAGGTGGTAAGTTACTAAATGCTGTAAAGAGCTTTTATGAGGATAGTGAGGCTCAGGTTAGGTGTGTAGAAGAGAGGGAGAATACTTCCCGGTAAAAGTAGGTCTTAGACAGGGATGTGTAATGTCACCATGGTTGTTTAATGTATTTATAGATGGGGTTGTAAAAGAAGTAAATGCTAGGGTGTTCGGGAGAGGGGTGGGATTAAATTATGGGGAATCAAATTCAAAATGGGAATTGACACAGTTACTTTTTGCTGATGATACTGTGCTTATGGGAGATTCTAAAGAAAAATTGCAAAGGTTAGTGGATGAGTTTGAGAATGTGTGTAAAGGTAGAAAGTTGAAAGTGAACATAGAAAAGAGTAAGGTGATGAGGGTATCAAATGATTTAGATAAAGAAAAATTGGATATCAAATTGGGGAGGAGGAGTATGGAAGAAGTGAATGTTTTCAGATACTTGGGAGTTGACGTGTCGGCGGATGGATTTATGAAGGATGAGGTTTATCGTAGAATTGATGAGGGAAAAAAGGTGAGTGGTGCGTTGAGGTATATGTGGAGTCAAAAAACGTTATCTATGGAGGCAAAGAAGGGAATGTATGAAAGTATAGTAGTACCAACACTCTTATATGGATGTGAAGCTTGGGTGGTAAATGCAGCAGCGAGGAGACGGTTGGAGGCAGTGGAGATGTCCTGTCTAAGGGCAATGTGTGGTGTAAATATTATGCAGAAAATTCGGAGTGTGGAAATTAGGAGAAGGTGTGGAGTTAATAAAAGCATTAGTCAGAGGGCAGAAGAGGGGTTGTTGAGGTGGTTTGGTCATTTAGAGAGAATGGATCAAAGTAGAATGACATGGAAAGCATATAAATCTATAGGGGAAGGAAAGAGGGGTAGGGGTCGTCCTCAAAAGGGTTGGAAAGAGGGGGTAAAGGAGGTTTTGTGGGTGAGGGGCTTGGACTTCCAGCAAGCGTGCATGAGCGTGTTAGATAGGAGTGAATGGAAACGAATGATACTTGGGACCTGACGATCTGTTGGAGTGTGAGTAGGGTAATATTTAGTGAAGGGATTCAGGGAAACCGGTTATTTTCTTATAGTCGGACTTGAGTCCTGGAAATGGGAAGTACAATGCCTGCACTTTAAAGGAGGGGTTTGGGATATTGGCAGTTTGGAGGGATATGTTGTGTATCTTTATACGTATATGCTTCTAAACTGTTGTATTCTGAGCACCTCTGCAAAAGCAGTGATAATGTGTGAGTGTGGTGAAAGTGTTGAATGATGATGAAAGTATTTTCTTTTTGGGGATTTTCTTTCTTTTTTGGGTCACCCTGCCTCGGTGGGAGACGGCCGACTTGTTGGAAAAAAAAAAAATATATATATATATATATACAGTGGACCCCCGCATAACGGACGCCTTGCATAACGGACAATCCGCATACCGGACGCTTTGATCGCTAAAATTTTGCCCCGCATACCGCCCAAAAACCCGCTCAGCGCCCTTCGTCCGAGACGCGTCCAATGTGCGGCCTGAGCCAGCCTCATATGTTCCGCCGGTGGCATTGTTTACCAGCCAGCCTCCGCGGTAACATTCAAGCATACAATCGGAATATTTCGTATTATTACAGTGTTTTCGGTGCTGTTTCTGGAAAATAAGTGACCATGGGCCCCAAGAAAGCTTCTAGTTCCAACCCTACAGCAATAAGGGTTAGAATTCCTATAGAAATGAAGAAAGAGATCATTGATAAGTATGAAAGTGGAGTGCGTATCACCGACCTGGTCAGGTTGTACAAGAAACCCAAATCAACCATCTCTACTATTGTGGGCAACAGAAAGGCAATCAAGGAAGCTGTTCTTGCCAAAGGTTTAACTGTGTTTTCGAAACAAAGATCGCAAGTGATGGAAGATGTTGAGAGACTCTTATTGGTGTGGATAAATGAAAAACAGCTAGCAGGAGATAGCGTCTCTCAAGCGATCATATGTGAAAAGGCTAGGAAGTTGCATGAGGATTTAATTAAAAAAAGGCCTGCAACTAGTGATGATGTGAGTGAATTTAAGGCCAGCAAAGGTTGGTTTGAGAGATTTAAGAAGCGTAGTGGCATACATAGTGTGATACGGCATGGTGAGGCTGCCAGTTCGGACCACAAAGCGGCTGAAAAATATGTGCAGGAATTCAAGGAGTACATAGAAACTGAAGGACTGAAACCTGAACAAGTGTTTAATTGTGATGAAACAGGCCTGTTCTGGAAGAAAATGCCAAGCAGGACCTACATTACTCAGGAGGAAAAGGCACTCCCAGGACATAAGCCTATGAAAGACAGGCTTACTTTGTTGATGTGTGCCAATGCTACTGGTGATTGCAAAGTTAAGCCTTTATTAGTGTATCACTCTGAAACTCCCAGAGCGTTCAGGCAAAAGAATGTCCTCAAGGATAATTTGTGTGTGCTGTGGAGATCAAACAGTAAGGCATGGGTCACTAGGGACTTTTTCTATAACTGGTTACACCATGCATTTGCCCCCAATGTCAAAGATTACCTAACTGAAAAGAAATTAGAACTTAAGTGCCTCCTGGTGTTAGACAATGCCCCTGGTCATCCTACAGACGTGGCAGAGCGACTTTATGGGGACATGAGCTTCATTAAGGTGAAGTTTTTGCCTCCTAATACCACTCCTCTCCTGCAGCCCATGGACCAGCAGGTCATTTCCAACTTCAAGAAACTGTACACAAAAGCTATGTTTCAAAAGTGCTTTGAAGTGACCACAGACACTCGATTGACTCTAAAAGAGTTTTGGAAGGATCACTTTAATATCCTCAATTGTGTAAACCTTATAGGTAAGGCTTGGGAGGGAGTGACTAAGAGAACCTTGAACTCTGCTTGGAAGAAACTGTGGCCAGAATGTGTAGACAAAAGGGATTTTGAAGGGTTTGAGCTAACCCTGAGAGGAGTATACCAGTTGAAGAATCAATTGTGGCATTGGGGAAGTCCTTGGGGTTGGAGGTTAGTGGGGATGATGTGGAAGAGTTGGTGGAGGAGGACAATGAAGAACTAACCACTGATGAGCTGATAGATCAACTTCAAGAGCAAGAGGCCAGACCTGGGGAAACTGGTTCAAAGGAGGGGAGAGAGAAATTGAAGGAATTGCCTACTTCAAAGATTAAGGAAATGTGTGCAAAATGGCTTGAAGTGCAAACCTTTTTTGATGAAAATCACCCTCACACAGCTATTGCAAGCCGTGCTGGTGACTGTTACAATGACAATGTTGTGAACCACTTTAGACAAATCATAAAGGAATGAGAGGTACAGGCCACTATGGACAGATATGTTGTGCGAAAGAAGTCCAGTGACTCTGAAGCTGGTCCTAGTGGCATTAAAAGAAGAAGGGAAGTAACCCCAGAAAAGGACTTGCCACCTCAAGTCTTAATGGAAGGGGATTCCCCTTCTAAACACTAACACTCTCTCTCCCCTCCTCCCATCCCATCAATCATCACCAGATCTTCAATAAAAGTAAGTGTCATGTAATTGTGCATGCCTTTTTCAGTTTGTGTGTACTAAAATTAACATTTTTTTGTGGTAAAAAAAATTTTTTTTCATACTTTTGGATGTCTTGCACGGATTAATTTTATTTCCATTATTTCTTATGGGGAAAATTCATTCACATACCGAACATTTCGCATAACAGCCAGCCCTCTTGCACGGATTAAGGTCGCTATGCGGGGGTCCACTGTATCTTCTTTCAACAAACCGGCTGTATCCCACCGAGGCAGGGTGCCCCAAAAAGAAAAACAAAAATTTCTCTCTTTAAATTTATTAATTTATACAGGAGTTACTAGACCCTTGCACCCAGCATTTTAGTTGCCTCTTATGACACTCATGGCTTACAGAGGAAGAATTCTGGTTCAATTCCCCAGGGAGAATCTCTATATCTATATACTATTTATCTCTCTATCTATATCTCAACTTCCCATTTTTGAGGGGACAGTACAAGTACAATATTTTGAGCATGATGATAGCAGCTACTTGCATTTCTCCAGCTTTTGCAGTATTCATTGTAAAATGTATGCACATACCAGGACTAACCTTAGTTTGTACTGCCTTTTCTGCTATAGTTAGTGGATTTAAAGTTAATCAATCTCTGCATGGCACTAACCCTCTGCTTTTTACACTTTCCTTTGCATGTAGGTTTTTTGGTCTATTTTGGCTATGGATTGTGGAATAGTTCAGCAGATGTTAAACAGAGTGGAGCTGGACATGGTGTAAACAACCTTGGATTTACCAGAGATGGAGTGAATGGTAAAACTTCAAGCACACTTATAATCCCCACTATTGAGATTCATCTAGCTACACCTGCAAATTCTGAACCTAATACTCCAAAATCATTGCAGAAAAGTAAAGTAAAGACTCCATTAGCACAGTCTCCACTTGTTACTGTACAAGTTGAAGTTAAGCATTATACAGAGTCTGATGTAGATGGTACTGATGGTGAAAGGTCTCTTATGCGTGAAACTCAGAGTGTCTTAACTTCCTTAGATAAATTATTTAGTGCATCAGCAAAAGAGGAAAGGGACAGATTACAGTGCGAGACTAGCAAGTCATATCTTGAGGATAATAAAGACACCCTGGGAGAGCTGCAGGATGATACAAGGGAAACATCCAGCAATAATGTTCAAGGTAGAGAGTTGCCAGTGCTACTGTGGGAAAATAATATACGTGACTGTGATGAGGAAAAGAGTTCGTTACAAAACATAGATAACAATGGCCTTGAAAATTCAGGATATGGATCTTCGAAACAGCAGTTGAAGGAAAATAAATCACAGTTAACTGAAAGTGTGGATAATGATTCGAATGAACTGGGATATGTAACACTTAAGGATGTGAAAACCCAGGTGGCTGAGAATGTACAAGAGGATTTTGAAGATGGTAGAAATGATGAAAATGATAATAAAGAGAAAGCTTTGGCTTTGGATAACTTAGATGAATTACACGAGAACAGAGAACCCCTTTATGCTACAGTAATTAAAAAAACAAAAATTGAGCCCCTAAAACTTAAATTTAACTTTGATGATGATGTGTCAATACTTAGAAGTTCACAGTCTGCTCCAATTTTGCAACCATCAACCCCACCCCCACCTGCATTACCACCAAAAATTTTCGGATATTCTCATAGTAGTGTCCCCAGTACACCCGTGTCTAAGAAGCATCCATTCAAAGTTTTAAAGAGAAACTCCAGTTTTGATGGCATTCCACCATCATCCCCAGATAGTCCCTTCGCTCGTCGCTTAGGTAACAAGTTTGTAATTATTCCAGTGAAGGAACCAGAAGCTGATTCAGACACAGACAGTATTAATCATATGTCATTTATTGAGAGTATTGTGAGTGATAAACAAGAGCCATACACAGAGAATACAGATGAAGAAGATACACTAATGAATGAAGCCACATCCAAATTAGAAAATGACTCCAAATTGTCAAGTGAAATTCAGAAGGGAAACAAAGAACCTAAAATGTTCACCATTGGAAGTGATGATTCTCTGGACAGTGCTATAATAATAACAAACTCAAGTGACTTTATAAATAATTTCCCTAGTCCTACTATAACAAGTCAGACAAGGGAATTCAAAAAAGTGTTTAGCAAAGAGTCATTGGAAGTGCTTGATACTATTAGAGAAAGAGGGGAAAGTAAAATATTGGCTGGTGATGAAGATAAAACTGATGTTAAAGTACCAGGGAAGTCTGTTGCAACAAATACGGTTGTTCAAAATGAATTGGATGAAAATTTGCCTCAAAATGCAGTATAAGTAATAATGTAATATACTGTATCAATACTGTATTTTCAACACTAGAAGGCAAACAAAAAGAACAGATTGCAGTCCAAATAGGAAAAATTATCACTAAGGAAATACATCGTGTGATATTCCTCAATAAGATTAAGTTTAACATTACACAGTTGTCTTTATGACAAACCATTCACCTGGATCACCACTTCAACACACAACCATCCAGTCCTCTGTTGGCTCAGATACACACTGAGCTACATAATTGTGAAGACAGTCACTAATTAACTCCTGCCCTTGCAAGAGGTCACACTTGATGCCTACTCTTGCGAGAGGTCACACTAAGCACCCTCCAGCACTTGAGACCAATCAAGCCTTGCCATAAGAATGTCTACCTAAAATGATGTTCTTCCTCACAAATCAGTGATGGAACAAAGAAATCCAGTTACAAACTAAAGAGAGTGCTGGTGTTCAGGACAGGACACCACCTAATGAAAACTGCAGTAAGTCTTTGATAATGTTTGCCAGTTATAGGGATTTTTCTGTGAAAAAATTGGAAATGCTGTACTGGCAGTGTTTGGCAGGAAGATAAACATTGTTAATATTTCAGTGGACTAAGAATAGTTATTCACAGGTAATGAAAGTGACATCACAGAATTATTAACAAATTAAAGCCAGGTTTGGTAACTAATGAAGCTTTAAGAAGGTATCAGTTCTCTGTGGACAGTACCTCCAGGAATGCCCACTTTTAGTGCATGAACAAGAATAGCACTTTGTGAGTTCACCCATAACTGGGTGTGGGAATGCTTACAGACTTAAACAACAAGGTACAACCCTCATTTGGGTTGATTAAATTGACCAAGGGCAGCTTGTTAGTGGGCAGTGCCACATAACTTGATTAAACACTGTAATAAATATGAAAAAATACAGATTGGTTATATTTAAGTTAAACCAGCTGTTAACAAAAATTTAGATGCAGATATGTGAAGATTTGTCATGTGTTAAAGTTAAGCAATATTTGTCATCATGAATCTGACCTTGTAATGAACACAACAATCCAGTTTTAGATTTTTACCAGCAGCTTTTTATCACTGCTGTGGTATTGTTTAGCTTAGTATTTTTTCTTTACCTGAGATACACAGAATTTTAACAGGTAACTTAAAATTACACTTTATATTGGATTTTACTTCAAATTTTAACCCTTTCAGGGTCCAAGGCCCAAATCTGGAGTCACGCACCAGTGTCCAAGAATTTTCAAAAAAAAAATTTGTTATTTTTTCTTATGAAATTGTAGAGAATCTTTTTGTGAAGGTAATAAAACAAAAAGTACGAAATTTGGTGGAAAATTGACGAAATTATGCTCTCGCGAATTTTGATGTGTCAGCGATATTTATGAATCGGCGATTTTGCCGACTTTGACTCCCATTTTAGGCCAATTACATTATTCCAATCAACCAAATTCTTAGCTATTTCACTAGTATTACTTCCATTCTATCGATTGAGCACAAGAAATCGCCAAGTCAACTGTTTCAACTACAAAATAAAGTGATCGGAAATTGTTAATTTGGCCAATTTAACACAAAGTTCAAAATATTCCAATTTCAAAATAGGGTCCAGAATAAACAATGTAGGCATTCCTGGCACTAAACTAACATTTCCTCTGTTCATTAGTTATGTTTTGAGGCTTTACAATAAATTCCATTTTGATTTTTTATTCACATAATGAATTTTTATTCACACCAAAAAATAGAAGATTTACTCTTATGCAATACTGTAATAATTGTATAAATATCATCACCATATTTGTGAATGTATATTAGACCCACCAGCTGACGTGTATTAGACGTGTGAGGTCGTTTGTTTACTCTTGAATATCGGCAAAAATTTAACATTTCCGCTACTTTGAGCTCAGTTTCAAGCCATTTCCAGTGCTAAAACCAATCAAAATAATCTCTATTTCTGTAATATGTCTTCCATTCTATCAAATGAGACCAAGAAATCGCAAATACAACTATAAAAAACATACGAAAAAACACTGCAAAGTTGCTGTTTCAATCGAAAAATCATGATTTCAGTTTTTTTCTCTCATTATACACAGTGTGCTGCAGGATCTGTTTTATGTGGTGCACACATACCACATAGATGTATTCTCTCATATCTAGGCCCAAATGTACCACTCACAGTTTATCAGAGTGAGCTGAGCTCATGGCGTAGATCTACGGTTTGGACACTCACCGTAAAGCCGTAGATCTACGGGACGGACCCTGAAAGGGTTAATCATTGCACATAGTAAAGCATAGAGCAAATCAACTACAAATTGCATTCTTCCTAACACTGCAATGATAAATGTGACTGGCACTGCCATCTGAAATACAGTGTTAAGTCCAGTTGAAAGGATATGCTTAATACTATATACTAAGAGTTCAGTGTCACAATACCTGGCCATTGTCTGGTGGAATCAAGGAGTACGTAATGACCCTTGTGAGCTAAGCACTTTAATACACAAAAAAACTGCACATAGGAGAGAAAAGCTTATGACGACATGTGACTTGTAAATGTAAAGTAAAAGGACACAAGTGCAACTAATGTGACATTTATTGTGGCAACGTTTCGCTCTCCAGGAGCTTTATCAAGCCCTGGAGAGCGAAATGTTGCCACAATAAATGTCACATTAGTTGCACTTGTGTCCTTTTACTTTACATATTGTCGGTAATTCTACCAACTTTATTACACTTTGTAAATGGTCCAAGTTGGACCGAAACGTCATTGTAAGCTCCTCTCTCCTATGTGCAGGTTATTTGTGTATTGTTCCAGTCATGGTATTGTGCCTTTTTGTTATTTAAGCTCTTTAATAGCAGTAATAATAATAATAATAACTGACAGAATCAACAATATTCCTGTAGTACATGTATGTTTATCCTGACAGATTGTGGGAACAAAACATACATTCATAATCAAGACAAATATTGAAGCAGAATTTTTGTGATTGGTTGTTTTCTAAATCTAAGGACTGAAAAAGTCACCAGTGGTGAAATGTCTTTCAGTAATTGCTATGAGTGTACTTGTGTTATTGCTGTGGTATTCTGGTACAGCAATACTGAAATATACTTCAAAAAATGGCATGTTCTTGAGATAATGTACTATATTCTTAGCATTCTTTTACATATCTTACATAAACGATTTTGTATATAAGAAATTTTGAAAATGTATCATAATACTCAATACTGTACTGAATCTTGTGAAAAATAAATATTCATCTTTCATTCTCATCTTTCAATCTAATCTTAAACAATAAACAAACAAGTTTGTTATCTAGATTAACTTTCCTTGAGCTGATAAAACATGCTAAATTCTCTTAGTTTGGTGTCAGTGAGGACTTTGTTTACAATGCCCTTGAGCTTGTCTTATGCTTGCACTGCCATCATTGTCACTCAGCATTGCTCTGCTTTCACCACTTTTGCTACAGTAGTGCCACCATCACCATAACTATCACCATCACCAGTCACCCCCCACTACCACCATTATGCATGTAATACATTTTAATGGCACCCTTATTTATCAAAGCTTTCAGCACTGTGCTGGTTGGGTCAACATACATGTGTTACCAATGACAACAGTAAGGGTTGCATGTTATAGTTCACACACACTACTTCAGATGGGTGATGTACTGAATTTTGATTTTGTAATAAATATAATACATATTGTTCTTTTAGCAAGGAATAAGTCATGAACTTTATTTCAGGTTTATTGCTATATTTTTGCTATGGCATTAGCAACAGCTCAGGAGAGTATCGAATGCAAGGGAAACCACCACCCGACATTAACCAATCAAGACGTGGAATAATTCAGATTGGTACTATATTTGACTCTGATTCAGAAGATGAAATATATTCTCAGTCTAATTCACATTTAAAATGGGCTGTAAACCCATACACTCTATGATTTTTTTAATATTGCATGGTATATTAAAATAAATTCATATAATTTTTGTACATACAATATTTTATATTTTTGTATTTATTTAAAAATCAAAGAAATTTACTTATCCAATTTAATAATATAATGACCTTTTATATAGATTTCTTACATTTTATTATGTTAGATTAATGAGGTAACATGACATAGATCTAATATTATACTTGTAACTTCTTACCCCTACAAGGGGGGTTCTTGAAGGGGGTACTTTGATGCTAGTAAGGAACTGTTGCTCCACAAAGTACTGGAACTATCCTTCCCTTACTTGAATCAAACCCGATTACATAGCACTCCCAGGTGCTGTAGGCAAAAAAAAAAAAAAATACACTTTAGTATGTACCAAGTGCTCTCTCCTAAAAAAGACATTGTGGTAAATAATGTGTCCGTCCATGCATTAGCTCGTCTAGTTCACCCATCCATTCACTGACTCAGTGCATGGGTGAATTTTGTGATCTTGCCATACCTGCAATTTTTTTTACTTAATGTAAATGTCACATTTTAATCAACGCATCTTCACATTAATCATTTGTAACATTAATACATAGTACACTTAAAATTATACTGTTCTGTCATAGTAAATTGTGCTAATTGTAATACTGTTACTTGTCAGACCTACAAATTAGGAACATAAACCTACAGAAAGTACACTAGATCCTTTTTTTTTTTTTTCACAATCATAAATCAACAGAATTGTTTACAAGAGAAGATAGTGTACTTCAACTACTGGAAACATTAAAAAAAAAAGTGTTATTTTGGACTAAATACTGAAGAAAGGACACCAAGAGTAGTTACACCAAGTGTAGTTACAAATAGGTAAACACACAAACAGGAGGGTAATGTCTTGTAATAGGGCAGGTAGTTGGAAATAAGCAGTTAATCTTTTTCTATGTTTTTAAAACACTACCATTTAGTTTCTGATAACTTGTCTCCCATCTCAGAATCCATTCCATATGCACTTCAAAATGTGTGACCATTCTATAAATTATTTTTTCTATGCAGTAATATGTTTACATTCTATTCACTCGTTTTAAAATGTGATAACTTAGTGTCAATCTTGTGACTTTTTTTTTTTAACCAGATATTCATGGATATTTTTACATAATTGACTCTGAATATACATGTACTGCCTAACAATATGTTGTACCATAATTATGTGGAATGAGTGACTACGTGTGGTAGGAACATTTATTGCATTACTTCATTATTCATCTGTCACCACAACACATTCATGGTGGAGGATAACGTACAAATAACATAGAGTAGTATTTATGTGGTTTTACTCGACCACGCTTGGGTTTTGAAGCACTGTAGAAAATTACATTCATAGCTAAGCAGATGGTTATTTTCCCTAGGTATATTTTTCACTTATGTATATTGTCTTTAGATCATTGTAATGATCTAAAGACAATATACATAAGTAATGTAATGTTTTGTCTTTAGAATATTATAATGTTTTGTCTTTAGAATATTATAATGTTTTGTCTTTAGAACATGGTAATGTTTTGTCTTTAGAACATGGTAATGTTTTTATATTTAAATTTTGAATTGTTTTTCAAGCCACTTTGATTACTAGAATGAAGTTAAAATTAAGAAATAAAACTTGCTTTGAGGCCTTAAACAGTGCCATTATTTGGGGGTTAAATAGATTTTCATTTATGTATCTGTTTTGTTAACCACTTAAGTGTCTAGACCCCCAATCTGAAAAGTGTCCACAGCATCCAAGAATTTAAAAAAAAAAGATTATTTTTTACTTATGAAATGGTAGAGAATCTTTTTCTGAAACTAATAAAACAAAAAGTACAAAATTTGATGGAAAATTTACAAAATTTTGCCTTCCCAAATTTTCTTGTCAGCACTATTTACACATTGGCAAATTTGCCTATTTTGAGTCCTATATTAAGTAAATTACATTGTTCCAGATGTTGAATAATCTGGGGCTACGAATGTTGATAGTGTCCTTATGGTGCCCACCGCACCCCTGCTTTTCACTGGGTTTGTTTTGCACTTGTCCCATATCTCTCTCCAATATGTTGTTATGGCAGCATGCAGATTTGGGACCAGGCCCACAAGTATTTTCCAGGTATACATTATCATGTCTCTCGCCTCCACTCCAGCGAGTACACATTCAGGACTCTAAGGCGTTCCCAGTAATTTAAATACTTTATTGGCTCTATGCGGCCCATAAACAATCTCTGTATTTGTTCATGCTTTGATATTTCTTCTGCCTTGAATGGGCTTGTCAACAATGAGCAGTATTCCAAATGAGGGAGCCCTAGTGATTTGAAAAGTGTCACTATTGACATTTCCCTTGTTTTGAAGGTTCTCAATACCCACCCCATCATTTTCCTGGCTGTCACGACCCTTGTCTTATTATGTTCTTTGAAAGAAATGTCAGCTGATATAGTTATTCCCAAGTCTTTCACGTGTTCCTTTCGTTTTATTTGATGATCCTCCTAAGTTTTGTATACAATGTTCTTTTTGAGTTCTTCACTCTTTCCATACCTAAGTAGTTGGCACTTATCACCATTGAACATTGTGTTGTTCTCCACTGCCTACTGGATAACACTGCTTATATCTTCCTGTAATTTTTCAGTCTCTTCTACTGTAGTGACTTAAATGCTTACTTTAGTGTCATCTGCAAATGATGATAGAGAACTGTGATGGGTGCTTTTATGTCTGCTGTGAGGTTGAGAAACAGCAGAGGTGCCAAGACAGTACCTTGGGTAACTGAGCTTTTTACCTCACTGATGCTGAATTTTGCTCTGTTTACTATTGTTTGTGTTCTATGTGTTAGGAACCTGAAAATCCATCTGCCTACCTTCCCTGTAATGCTTATGGCCCTCATTTTGTGTGCTGCTGCCCCATGATCACATTTGTCAAATGCCTTTGCAAAGTCTGTGTATATCACATCTGCTTTTTTTTTTGCTTTCCAATGCCTATGTAAGTCTGTCATAGTGGTTCAGAAGCTATGACAGGCATGATCGTCCTGCTCCAAAACCATGCTGGTTTGGGTTATGCTGATTGTGCCGTTCCGTGAAATTTATAATCTGATGTCACATTATGCTAGTGCTCTACTACCTTCCTTATGCAAAGGAGCTATGTCTTTGCTCTTTCAGGTCTCCGGTATTTCACCTAGATCTAGGCTCTTTCTCCAAAGATTACTGAGAGTTCGTGCTAGTGATACTTTGCACTTTTGTATAAATAGAGCACTCCACGAATCTGGTCCAGGTGCTGAGTGAATGGGCATGTTATTCATTTCTTCTTCAAAATCTATGGGACTGGTACTAATGTCAGTTAATTGACTTGTGCGGCCTTCTGCGAGGTGAAAATTTTCTGCATTCTCTACCCTCCTGTCATTTAGTGGGTTTGTGAATATAGACTCATACTGTTCTTTTAGAATTTCACTCGTTTCCTGTTCATCATCAGTATATGAGTTTCCTCTTATTAATGGTCTAGTTCTTAGCTTGGAGTTTGCATAGGAATAAAAATATTTTGGGTTTCTTGCAATATCCTGTATGACTTTTTGTTCCCTTCATACTTTTGTTCAGTATGACATCCTAAGTTTTTGCTCTGATTCAGTGATCTCTCGGCTAAGACTATCTTTCCTTCGTTGCGACATACTGTATTTGTTTTTAAATATTCGGTAACCCATTTTCTTCTTTTGTATCATCTCCTACACTATATCTGGATCTTGCTCTGGGTTTCCTCAGTGGTATGTATTTAATACAGACCTTGTATGCCTCTGTATTCAGCTTCTCCAGGCACTGGTGGGGATTTAGGGTGCTCATGTCTGATTCCCAGGATATGTCTGATAGTTCTTGGTTTATTTTTTCCCAGTCAATTCTATGGTTGTTGTTACTGAACATCCCTTAGTGCTGTAGTTCCCTAACCCTGAGTTCATACTTGTTTGTATTTCCATGATGTTGTGGTCAGAGTACTATATTGCTTTTGTAATTATGTCTCTGATTAGTTCCTTGTTTGTGAATATCAAATCCAGGGTATTTTTATTTATAAAGGGATCAGTTATCCGTTACTTCAATGAGTACTTTTCACAAAGCCTCATTACTTCCCTGTTATGTACCTGTTGAACCAGGGGCTTCCAGGAGTAATTTCTGGTATACATTGTGTTGAGCCATTTTACATGTGGGAGATTAAAATCTCCAAGGAATATAATATTTGGTGTGGGAGTTTCTAGCCTATTCAGATAGCTATTTATCTACCTTAACCAATATGCGAATTCCTCAGCAGTTGCTGATGGTGGTTTATATACTGGTTTATATTCCTATTTTCAATTTTAATACCTAGAAATTCTACTGTATCATTCATAGAATTCAGTTCTGAGCAGCTGAAAGTAACTTTCACATACAGTCCTACTCCTCCCTGTGACCTATTAATTCTATCATACCAATACATTTATAGGTTTGTGTGCGTCTGTCCGAAACATCCCTGTGTCTTGTGTGTTTCTGTAAATGCTCCAAACATGGCATTCGCTTCTGAGAGGAGTCCACGAATATAACTGTCATTTTCATTTGATTTCAAACCCTAAATGTTTACAAAGGGATATTTTGATTTGCTGTGTTCAGTTAGTATCACTGGTGATGTACTACCTGGTATGGCCCTTGGTGTACACACCCCTGGTTTTTCCATTATTGATTGTGCATTTGACTGTTGTATATTTGACCCTGATAGGTGGATGCCTGGCTTAGTATGTCCCGCTGTTGTGCCCCTTTGTCCCGTCTGTAGCATTTCCTTGTTTGGTCTCGTTCTCGGGTCCAATCGTTTCTCTGTGTAAAAAAGATTGCTGTTCATTTTTCCTTTCCCTGTTTTCTCTGTAGTGCCACATTCATTTTACATGGTGGTCTGGACAGCTCAGGTCATAACATTCTCAACTGTGTTGAAGTATAAATTAAGTGAATGTGAATACGGCTTTTGATAAAACATAGGCAGGGTATATGTTGATCATGGAAACACCCCTCAAGGAAGGTTCCTTGATTTAAGAAATTAAATTGTCCTTTCATCCCTTAATGCAAACCTGATTGCCTGAAATTCCCCAGGTGCTGTATGACCCCTATGGGTTTAGCACTCCTAAATAAAAATATGTCAAAGCAAGTTTCCAATTTACATTCCCTCAGCTTCCTTGAAGCTGGTGAGGACCTTTTGATCCAAGGAATTGGGCCTGTGCTCCCCTTGGATCAAATCTGAATGCCTCCCATTCCCCCTAGGCATTGTATGACCCCCAGCTGAAGGAATGGAATACATTAGTAAAAATGCAGTTCTTTCCAGATAGTATAACAGTATTTAAACTGGGCATTGCATGTGATACAAGTAGTTATACACTTTACTGGGAACATTTGGATCCTGTAATTTTGGTCACTCCAAATATACATGTGGGAGGGTACACACACAGTTAAATAGTCAGGAAGTCATCTTAGTAGCAGTGAGGCTCACACACATTTAAATAGTCAGGAAGTCATCTTAGTAGCAGTGAGGTTAAGTGGTTGAATAATCTTGGGTAAATTTGAAAATAGGCTGGATATAGAATTTAATTAGCATGGGGCAGTAGGCCTGCTGCAGTGCACTTTATTCTTACGTTCTTGTACATGTTATCTGACTGCTATATCATGGTGGTCAGGGAGATGCTTGTTTGATTGATTATTGTATGCCAGTGTGGTGGCAGTAGTGTAGCTTCCTCTCTGTTACACTATTACAGCAACTAGAGAGGCTTCCAAACATCAACACTTGCTGAGATTTGACTCCTTGAAGATTATCTATGCACTGGTCGAGTTCATGTGTCGCTCAGTGTTGTAAACCACTCTCACATTCATGGCGTCTCTTGCATGCACATTTGGGTTAATTTTTCCTAATGGACAGACTTCTACCTGTTCCCCCCATTAATTTCTTTTTGCAGTGCCACATGGTATTTTGTAGATTCCAGCAGTGGAAACTGGTTGATGAGTAGTGGGTGATTTCTTTGCCCATTAGAATGAATGAACAAAAGTGTATGCAGCAGACATGAATAATGCATGCGAAGTCTGCAGAAACACTTAGGGATACCTGATGAGTTGGTCCAGTACAGAGACAACCTTAAGGAGCAAGATCTTGACATGTGGCATTGTTTAGAAGTTTATCTGATTGCTGTAATAGTCACACAAAATGCAGGAAACTACAGTATAGTTTTCACATTAGCACACAAGCACCATCCCAACCACCATCAGATGATTGTTGTAAAAACAAAAGGGAGGGGCAGTGGCCCTACAGGCCTATGTTTGTCCAACCTAATATTAAAGCTACCAAAGATTTTTCAACCATTTAACCTTACTGCCACTTGGGTGTCTTCCTGGCTATTAAGCTTGTCTTCCTGTCCACATGTGCAACTGGAGTGACCAAGGTCCCCAGGACCAAAGTGTCATAAACCAATAGCATTCAAAACTAGTAAAAAAAAAAAAAAATGTAAAATTGTAGAAAAAAATCTAATGATAAGAATTCATCTTGAAATATAAACAAATTCAGGCAATTATTTTTATTGCTTATACACTTTCACAATATAACATACTTCAAACAGCCTATTTACAAATTTTGTCTTGTATTCAATGCAGGAAATAAAACTGTCATAACATTGCTTTAATCAATTGCCACTTAAAATACCTCCTTACTCTCCTGTAATCTTTGTATACTACTGAAAGTAAAACTAGTCAAGTTGATGAACAAGACATGTGCATTACTAAACATCATTGATGAAATGTTTTGCCTGCAGTGCAGGCTTCAGTCAAATACAGAGAGGAATTACAATTCTGGAAACGGTAGAAGTGGAGAGGTAATTTGAGGACATTAACTCCTCAGTCTTAGAGGGTGGTAGAGAAAGTTTGGAAGCAGGGTGAGATAATCAGTCCTCCACCTTTATTGATAGATAACCAGTCTTAGACTTAAGCAAATGCACAAAATCAAAGATGTGCATACTGTAAAGTAAGGTGTAGCAGCTTGGAGATAAGATCACAGGCAAGTTGGGTAATACTAAACAGGTGTTAGAAAGAGAACTGTTGAAGACATCTCTTGTGTAAAGACCTGTCTAACACAGTAACACTATAAATAGTATACAATACTGACAAGCTGATGAGTAACATCTGCAAAACTAAGTATTTTTATTGACAATGTTTTGTTAGGACTGCAAGCCTCATCAGTGGATTACAGAGATGAATTACAATTCTGGAGACAGTACATGAAGTGGAGAGTTAGTCTTGACATTGTTTATCTTCCAACAAGGCTTAGAGACTGGCTACCTCAAACTACCTCTCCACTTTGTCTACTGTCTCCAGGATTGTAATTCATCTCTGTATTCAACTGACAAAACCTGAAGTACAAAACATTTCATCAACACAGATGCCTAATGTTGCAGATGTTACTCATTTGTCAGTACTGAATATCATTTATAATGTACTTGTCTGACACAGCAACACACAGTACATGTATCTTGATACAAAGGACGCCTGCAACAACTCGGTTGCTAACATCTATTTAACCTGACCCACTTCTGGACTAATCTCCAAGCCATTGCACCTCAGTTTCGAGTATACAAGTCTCTGGCCTTGTGTATTTGCTTTAGACAGAGACTGATCATTTTCCAACGATGCCGAGGGGCTGATTTCCTCAAACTACCTCCTCATTTCGTCTACTTTTACCAGACTAATTCATCTCTGTATTCCAGTGAAAATGCCTATGTCGGTGAAGTAATTTATAAATATCTCTACCGTTGCACATGCATTTACTCAGTTTAGTCTGCACTTCCTATTGTCTAAACACTTGCATTGATATTCATTCTTGTCATGTTATAATAGTAATTCTTTGGCTAAGCATGTCCATACCATTTTAGCATACTGTTACTATTTTTCTACCATAGCCACTATCAAACATGTCATCAATTACTATATCAACTCTATAAACACATTCTTTTCAACATTTGGATTAATATTTGTATATTAACTTCATGCAATCCTCTCATCAATATTTCCCATATCTTTTACCATACTGCAATTTTCTGGAAATGAAGAATTTTCCTAATTTTGATTTACTATCATAGTTTCTACATTGCCTCAATACCTGGTACAGTGGACCCTCAGTTAACGATATTTATCCGTTCCAGAGAGCTTGTCCTTAACCGATTTTATCGTTATCTGAATTAATTTTCCCCATAAGAAATAATGGAAATCCAATTAATCCGTTTCAGACATCCAAAAGTATTAAACAAAATTTTTTTACATGAAATATACATTTTCCTACACAGAAAACAATGATACATGAAGAATAAAACAAGAATAACATCACACTTACCTTTATTGAAGACATGGTGATGTATGGAAGACAGGAGGAAGGGAGAGGATGGAGTTTACAATTGTTTGGAAGGGGAATCCCACTCCATAAAGACTTCAGGTACCAAGTCCTTATCCTGGGTTACTTCCCTCCTTTGTTTTTTAATGCCACTAGGACCAGCTTGAGAGCCACTGGACTCCTGTCCTCAAATAAGTTTTCCAGAGAGGTCTGTTTCTGGCGTATGTTAGGAATTGTGTTGGGAGACACAAGATAGTCCTTCAATATGACACTAATATCAGCTCTACGGCTTATTTATCTAGCACAATTCATCTAATATGGCATAATAAACAATATTAATAACATAGAAACACGACATATACTCTAGAATGAATAAAATACGTCATTAAGTATGTCACGAGTGTTGCTGTGTTGTTGTTGGGTGTATAATGGCCACTGAAAGCATAAGCTATACATAATGGTGGAGGGAGGCGACAGCAGAGGTGGTAAAGACGTTGGTGTTGTCAATCGCCCTACATAACTCCAACAACATTGGAAGAGGTAGGTTCGTGTTGTCCTTTTTCTATCAATTAATCGCTTAACTTACTTGCTACAGTTAATGCTACACTTTATCGCTGGCTGCCGCTGTAGCCTTTATAGACTCCTGCTGCTTTAGTATCCTACATATTGCAGAATCACTGAAAAAGACACATTCTCCCCTCTCTCTCAGCCCTTTACCAAAGGGCTGGCTGGCACTAGATGCTTTCTTTGGGCTTATGGTGGCTTATTTAGCAATTACAAGCACTAAAAAATGGAATAATACAAAATGTATCGCATGTACGCGTGGAATCGTCCACAGTGTCCTGTAAACAATGGCACACTAGCCACACTGGAGTGGCCGGGTGGCTCAGGCCGTGTGGACACATTCTGGACAAATGTCCTTAGCTAAGTTTTTTATCGTTAGCCGAGCCAATATTTTGACTCAGAAACGTATTGGTATCCGATTTTATCGCTATCCAATGGTATCATTAACTGAAGGTCTACTGTACTAAAGAAATTCAGCCTAGCACATACACTTCAGCCATTTTCCCATAAAGTTTTACCATTCAATTTGTATGAAAGAAAATCATGACACTGAATTTTGAAAGAAAACAAAAATAAAGTGATATGGTAGCTCTAAAGCATAACAGCATGTATGTTTGGATATGCCGTAAAGCCCCACTTTTTTTTTCTGATCCATAACAAATATGAGACTGTAGATGAAATATGGAAAAACAGTTTGAAGTTGTGTGACTCATGTAGGATTAAAGGGGAATACATGTATTGTGGTACAATGGTCATGTTAAATAAATATCCAAGCAGCCTAAATGGAAGGTATAACTTGACATACAATATTAAAGATAAATACAGTGTATGAAGATTCTTGCAGATTCATGAAACTGACTATACAAATGACTAGATTCTGAATATTTGAGCATAAACATGTGGCAAGTTTACAGTTACATCCAAATACCCATTAAAAAGTTGGAAATTTTAGATATATTTTTTACAGCAGAATATAATGAAATAAGAGTTGTATTCGAACACACTGTCAAGTTTGTTTGAATTTATAAGAGTAGATGAAGCATGCTAAGGCCATCATGTCATGGACCCATACTCAAGACTAACACATGGTTAATAACTTGCATCTCAAACCTACCACAGGACACTCGTTTATATGCTTAAATATCTATGTGATTATCAAATTTTCCAATAGTGTTTTAGTTCTGGGATGGCTTTTCTCCACTGTCTATTAAATTATTACAGGTGCTGTATAACCCTTATGGGTTTAGCACTTCCCTATGAATTCAGTATTAAATTACTAAGATAAAAACTATCACTTAATATTTCAGTCTTGTTCATAATTAGTTTCCTTACTTCAGTATAGAAGCCTCATCATGCAACACAAAAAATACTAATTATGATAAATTATGTAATTTTTTTTTATCTTAGGTAATACTGTATTGTGACTGAATACTAAAGTGTCATTCAAAACTTGAACACATTTACACGGCATAAAGCTTCAATCACAATACTGTACTAAATTTTTGAAGTGTTTATTAATGGTGACATTGTGAAGAAACCAATTTCCCAAACAAATTTTAAACAAAATAAAGCAAAGAAATCAATAACAATAAGCTAACAGATACAAGCATTATTCAATAAAATACAATACAAGAAATATACATAGTGTACTACATGCAAAAAAAAAAAAAAAAAAATCTAGAATTACAGGAACCTCAAGTATGAAATCAGTTCAAGCTCTTCTTGACAAACTGCAAAAAATCTGGCTTCAGTCATGATTGATTATTAGTACTGTATTATAACTGCTTGATTTTTTTATACAGATTTTTACTAGAAAACTCGCTCATATTTAGTAAAATAGTACAATAGTGGACACATTTCAAAAACTGCTTCCCTAATAAGCCAATTGTACTAATACATGAACACAATCATGATACAATAATAATACTATATGAAAACCCTTAATTTAATTAAACTTTTGTGACACAAACCCTTTTAATTATGATCTTTTAACTTCAAACTATAAAATTATCAAAAATATATTGAATTCAACAGAAATTAAACAGAATAAATTATAAGTATTATTACAACAATTACAATATTAACCTAACGAGTTTCATTCACTAATGTACTGTATATCTATATATATAATGACATATGTCAAAAGCATACCCCACATAGTGGGAAAAAGATCACATGATATAAGTATATATTATATACTATAGTCAGGTATGTAAATTATAATTTTTAATACTTTTAATATGACACGAGAGACTACATATTCAAATTGCACTAGCTTCTGTAAATGCATTAAAAATATCAGATCTACTCACCTCATTAGTGGTGATCTACATTTTCAATTAAAATTAAGTAGTATTGGTTACAGATGGCCAGTAGTAAGCGTGCAGTAGACGCTAAACTACTTGTCATACTTTCTCGCAGATCTACTGTGCTTTGGTCGTGGGATGCCCGACCTCTTCCTACGAGGCTTTGCAGTTGGTTGTGAGTAAACATCAGGACTATAGGTCTGGTACACTTGCCACATGTCACCATCTTGGCTCTGAAAATATAACAACATTGCACATAAACTATATAGCAACCAAGAAATTAAAATACGAGGAAGTGCTACAACTGTAGAGGTCATACAGTGCCTGAGGAATGGGAGGTAAACATATCTGATTCAAGAAAGGGTAAGATAGCTTCAATTCCTGGAGTAAAAGTCCTTCATTGGCATCAAGGCACCCATTTTTTCCTTGAAGGGTCAAACTATAATGTATGAATTTAAATTACACAAAGTTAGATTTATAAGTTTAGTTATAGTCAAACATTGCAAAACTAAAATTCTAGGATATTATGCACAGCACTTCTAAGGTGCACAAGAATCTGGTCCTTTGAAGACAACTGCATTAAGTTCACTCTCAAATTAGTTAAAATTCTGAAATCATAATGCATTCTAAAAATATATAGAAAAATTAATTATGCACAAAAAATAGCACCAAATTTTTATAGCAAAGTACTGCTACAAATTTACAGAGCACTGAGACCAGACAGTGTTTTATGCAATAACATGATTCACATTCAAATACATACCAAAAACTTACAAAGTAAAACTAACCTTCCTCCTAATAAGTAAAAAGTATTAACACAAGCATATACCATGGACAAAAAAAAAGTAACTCAAAGATCATTCAAATGAAGATCTTTAGAAACCCTTCTTCACTAGCAAACTTCTTTAAAAACTTCAGATATATGGAAGGGAAAGTTCTAAAAGATCTATTTTTAAAATATGTTGGGCAAAGTTAGAAGATGCAAAAGTGATGTGATGTCTGCACCTAAAAAAAACATGGATAAGATATAAAAAAAATCCCAAAGCTAGCTCAAAAATAACTTCTAGAGCTCGAAAATCTAATTTAAAAAAAATCTGGAAACAATAAAAATGCCTTGGTTGACTGGAGGAAAGGAACATGATAACCACATATAAGGTCCTAAAATATATATAAAAAAATGATAAAGAATATTTATTAACACTATCAACTAGGAGAAACAACGGCCACAGTTATAAGGAAAAAAAAAAAAAAAAAGGCAGTTTAACAGTGGTGTCAAGAGGCTACTACTACTACAGTATAAAGGTTGTCTTCACAGTGTGGTAAACATTGTATTAAGTTACAGGAGAAAGAAATGCCACAACCACTGGATTCTTTAACATTATGATAGCTTCAGCACTAAAGATGGGACATAATTGCAAGCATACATCTGCTACTATTGCTAAAAATAGGTATAGTACCATATATAGTAATTGCAATAAAATAATCTCTTAATATTCCTAAGACCCTTGTGGTTTTAGTGCTTAGTTAAGATAAATTATCCTGCATCAGTTAAAACCCTTCACCAACTGAGCTTCTAAAGTATACAGTGGACCCCCGGTTAACGATATTTTTTCACTCCAGAAGTATGTTCAGGTGCCAGTACTGACCGAATTTGTTCCCGTAAGGAATATTGTGAAGTAGATTAGTCCATTTCAGACCCCCAAACATACACGTACAAACGCACTTACATAAATACACTTACATAATTGGTCGCATTCGGAGGTGATCGTTATGCGGGGGTCCACTGTAATTGGGAACTAAGCATTCACTGAGGTCCTGGCAAATCCTTTGATTAAAAAAAAATATTGTGATGGCAAAGCTGCAGGCAAACAAGAAAAAAGTATTCAAGCAATAGGGTATGGGTGAGGAATGTGTACACAATCCTCATTTTACATCGAGTAGTCTCAAAGCAGTTTACAAGGAATAATAAGAGTACCAAAAGATGCCATTCAGGGAGATACTGTACTTCCAATCTTACAAACATCTATAGTACTTACATTCAGTATAATATTTACTTTCCTGTGATTCACAATATTTCTTAATCTTGTAATTTTGTACTGTATTACCTTTCCAATTTTCAAATCCTGGTCAAAGACCAGGCTGCAGAAGTGACAATCCCCAGAAAAACTAACAAATATACATATCTAGTGACAAACATTTATGAAGAAACAAACAGTATCAAAGTTAAGATACTTCAAAAATAACTGCCTCTCATTTCATTAATACTTTTATTCACTGAAGAGATGGTAGAGTGCAAATGATAGCCCTATTAATTAGTTCTCAACTGCTTAACAATTTACCACAAAGGTCAACATTTATTCACAAACTACTGGCACCAGCATTAACGACACTCAGCAGCCCAAATCATACCACTGGTGGGGATAGAACCCGCGATCAGAGTGTCTCAAAACTCCAGACCATCGCGGTAGCCACTGGACCAGCTAGCCACAATAAGATTCGTCCAACTAGGTATATTTCTACACCATAAGAAGGTTAGCATAGGCACCAATGTGACCACAAATGCAAGTTTTTACAGACATATCTCCAGCTATGGTGTAGAAATATACTGTACCTAGTTGGACGAATCTTATTGTGGCTAGCTGGTCCAGTGGCTAACGTGACGGTCTGGAGTTTTGAGACTCTCTGATCGCGGGTTCTATCCCCGCCCGTAGTATGGTTTGTTTGCAATCGTGTCATTACGATTTCGTGAGTCATGTATTCAGCAGCCCGCCAAACCACCACCGGAACTAATCATTATTTGGTATGCTCACAGTAAGATTGAAATTTATTTTACCAAATTGAAGATGCAGTGGAGGTAGTAGTAAGGTACTACAACCACTGAAAACGTAATCTTTTAAGCTAAATAATGAACACAAAACATCAAAACTCTACTCTAGCTACCAATAGATAATTACTCTCAAACACACAAAATAATGTATGCACAGTTTTAAGGTGCAATTAGTGCCTGCTTACATTTATCATTAAGCAGTGGAAGATAGGTAGTGTGAGTGTGAGAGAAAAATATTCATCACTCATTCTACAGTCGACTTACTGAAAGTACCTACATAAACGTAATTCAATAACCTTCCAAACCACGTTTGCACCCATCCATCGGTGCAGTCACCTACCATATATTACAGTGTGCTATGTGGCATCTACACCTAACAAATAACATACAACAGAATATATTTTGGAATTAAAAAATTATGAACCATAAAGGCTGGAAACCCTGAAAATGCCCTCATACGAGCAGAAGAGGTTCAATACCCCACTAACAAATTACAAAAGGATAAGAAAAATTAAACTGGAGATTTTTTTTTTTGAATCAGCAACAGACAAAACAAAAAGCTAGTTTTAAATTGTGAAAAAAGAAGTGCAAAAAAGTACTTCTTTACAGAGTGATAAATGACTGGAATGATATGCAAAAGGAAATACATGTAGTGCATCCAGCAGCTACTGGAAACATCAAAATTGTGTATCCAGCAACTACTGGAAACATCAAAACTGTGTGATCAGTTACAATACAATAGTTAAAGCTGATGGGACATCACAAGTGTAGCTCTACTCTAATAACTATACAGACAATAACACCTATTACACACACAAGAAAACCCATTTGGTTGATATATGTCACAGTGGTTAATTAGTGATTATAAGAGAGAGAAACATATTGTAAGAGAAATGGACAACATACCAAACAGCACCATATCTAGTGGTCTTGATGAATGAATAAAGCCTGAAGCTTGTGAAAGATTACTCCCATTTCATGTGATGAGTTTTACTGTGTGCATAGGTCAATTAAAAAAAAAAAAGCATATACAAAAGCCTATAGTGGAGGTAGTAGTAAGGTACTACAATCACTGAAAACTTAATCTTTTAGGCTAAATAATGAACACAAAACATCAGAACTCTACTCTAGCTACAAATAGATAATTACTCTCAAACACACAAAATAATGTATCACAGTTTTCCTTAAAAATACCATTTGATTTTTTAAACCTTTTTAACTTCAAAGCCCCTTATCAGATTATCCTTTACTCTTGCACAAAATCTGATTACTGCAAATCTTAACACGAAAACAGCTTTCATGACAACAGAAAATTTTGAGTCAAAATACTTTATACATTAAACATGACAAACTGATTCCTTATTTTTTTTTTAAATTTGGCAGCAGTCTCCCACCAAGACAGGGTGCCCCAATGCTTTTTAACATATCCCATTACTGAAATCTCATATAAAGAAAATAAACAAGATAGATAACGCACATAAGTAGAATAAATATTTCACATATGAGGTGAATGGGCTTTACATGTTTGGCATGAACTAATGAATGAAGCATTTAAATACAGCACTTGGCATTGGATCTATTTTAACTATCTGCCTACTGCAGATTTCGGTGATCTAATGCAGAAAAACTTTTTTTAAAAAGAGTTAAAAAAGCTGAAATTTCTTTGGGCATTCACCAAATGATAAAACTAATGGTGTCCACACTGCACTTCTTTGTTGCAAAAGGCTAGCTACATCAACAAAGAATGTCACAATAAATACATTTCTTTTAATTTTATACAGTACTGTACATAAAACTTGATTTCCATGATACAAATATAAAATCAAAATTCATTTATTGTGTACACACACAAATGGTAGCACTGCCTAACTACTGATTTAATTTGAGCTTCATATTTACTATTCCAGCTGTGCTATACAATATGATTACCACAGTATAACTATTTGTCTCTCAGCTATATCTATTAAGAAATATATGTAGGAGAACTCTTTACATAATTTATTTATATCCTTCCACTGGTAATATTGTAATCCATTTCGTATCTATGAAATAATGTCTTAGAATGTCATATTTTACATTCTTTTACAATCATCCCTTCAAATTTGGGGGAAGAGGGGATACAGGGGGTTCCACTACTAAGAGTTCTTCAAAACTAAAACCCATGAATACAAAATTGTGTCTGCATAATTTTTTTTTTCTGATATAGGTTCCTTTTATTTTAGATACCATATCTCTATATATCCTGTATCAATATTCAGCCATTAACTACAAACTGCAGGAAACCTTAGTTTACAATTTTGGGAATATATGCTAAGTCTGAAAAAAATTGGTGCCACCAAGAAAAGCCCATGGATAAGCAAAACTATTTATGGGTTGTTTATCAGTTAAAGCATTAGATAATCAAAA